TCTTGAAAATTTTGAATCCACAATGCATCGCAATCGTAGTGCGCACACCACCTGGCTGCACCTTATCTCTGGAATGCATGACCTTCGGTTATACCCATAACATAAATTTAAAATGACAATTATTATTATTTTTACTATTATTATTATTATTGTTATTGGTTATTTAAATGAGGTTAAAATGGCTTCAGCAACTACGACAGTAGCCTGCGATCATGCCCTCTCCCTTTGTCTCTATAATCTGTTTTCGGGAGGAGGGCATGATACACATCTTTTACAGATCACATGCAAAAAAGCCAGAATCTGGACTTTTTTTCTGATTGGATAGGAAACAATACGGATGATTTGCCCTGTTCCGATTGGCCAAAACTCTGCCACCGTTAGTTGTTGTTGATTTCAGTCTGCATTTTTGCTTGCCTAAAGAGTAGTGAATACGCACAAGAGTTCGTCATGAAATTTCTGCCGGCTCAGTTTTCTTGAATTTTAAAAAAGTCTAAATAGAAATTTTATCCACTGAAATATTTTTTATTTCATCGTAAACTAAAACTTGCAGAAAAAAATTTACCGATCATTTGAAGGCAATTTGATACCGCCCGCAAGTCACAGAAGCGACAAACGGATTCACTTTTCAAATAATTAATTTATGAATGGAATCTTGACCTAGTTGGACTGTAATTCCTCCTTCAGAAACCTGAGAATTATTCTGAGCGATCTTCGCTTTCACAACTTTTTTCAGTTCGTGAAATACGGTGCTTCAGCCTAATTTCGTTTTTCACTGCTTTCCGCTCAGAACGAGGTCAACGAGCTTTTACCAGTAAATTCTTTATAATTTCTAGCTGTTAAATAAAAGTACGGCAGCTCCAGCTAGCAGTATTTCATCACAAAAAAACATTTAAAAATTTCTTTAGGAAGCGCCATCTGAATGTACTTAAAATTTTCTTTTCTTTAAAATTGATTTCGAAAGAGACATTATTCCCGCCAAAATTTGATTCCCGTCTGGTAAACGCTGATTGGCTAATAACATGAATGGTCAAGAAGACGTTAGATTATGTAAATTAGGGGGCGGTTGATGGCTTGTTAAATAAATGTATCAGGCGTTATTTTTTTCCCTCTCGAGCCAAAGAAGCAAAGAAGCAAAAAAAATAACGCCTGATCTCAGGTTACTACGACAGGGGCTTGCGATATCTTATGTCCATTAGTGTTCTCTAGTTTCAGCTGTCGAGTGATAGGGGTAGGGTCATTTAGCCTATCCGAAAATCGAGACAAATTATTTCTAGTCCGAAATTGAATTTACATGCATGTGGGTGCCGAGGCTGGGTGGTTTGCTGGTGCAAGTTCGTGATGAGGTTGGCCATGGCCAGCACCAGTACGCGTTACTTGAGCATTTCTAAGAGGACATTCGTCTCGTCCCTGTTGTAAGGGTTTGCCTGTGCATTTGGTTTAAACTACATGAACGCTTTAAGGGTGTTATGAACCTGCGATCACGCGCTGTTTTTTTTTTTGGGGGAAAGGGGAAACAAGAACGCCTGATACATTTACTCCACGAGTCGCCTACCGCCTCCTTATTAAGCATCTCTCAACAAGTCACCTTTGGGACGTCAGATTTCACGTGTAGTTTCACGTGACTTTTGATGATCTTTGCAGTAAACAAATCTCGAAAGTTCGGACATCCGTTCTGTCCCACATACTATACATTTACTAACTACGGGTCGCTATTTCAAGTTCACGTTGATTTTTATATTTTCCTTTCCTTTTCCTGTTTGAAACTCGAATAGTTTAAGGTGAAAAATGTCAAAGCAGAAGACGAGGGGTGTCGTTAACTACACAGATGACAAAACTGCAAAAAATATTCGCCGAAACATGGTGTTGTCAACAAGCGTGTCGAAAATCTCATCTGCAATCTGTTGAAAAAATGATTTTTCTCGTTGGATTCGAAAAAGATAAAATCAAAGATGCAGACAACATCATATTTCATAATATACTGCAATGTGCTTTAAACATTTTCGTCTCTATCGCCTTTTATACACTTAAATATATCTTGCGTGAAGTATACTGCCTCGGTTAGTATCTAACGAAAGCGAAACACATTCACGGAAGCCTGCACTTTGCCTACAGATACATGAGCAGCTAGCCTGTTGATTCAACTTAAAAGCGTCCGAGTCCCTGCTCATCGTGTAATCAGTGCAATGGTAAATTTAAACTGTTTAACCCTCGGACGCACACGCAAATTCATACCCCCACCGTGGTACAAGAGGGGGAGGGGGTGTGGATGGAGCCCCTCCTTGGAGCCGGAGTTTTTGATATGTTGCCGTATTTTGAAACGATTTTACCTTTAGTGAAAAGCCTTTGATCTTCTTAACAAGATGAGGTATATTTTACGGGTGGTGACACTGCTGGAGGCCTCTGACGTCACTAACAATAGTCGCCATCTTGGCCGCCATCTTAGATTTTTCCAAGAATTAGAAATCAGTTTAAAATCGGGAGAATTGTTTTTTTTTTGTTTTTATTTCTTTGTTTAGATAATTGTTTAGTTATACCCACATTGCCTTCTTTTATTCGAACTCACTTCAAAACCCTAAGATTGGTATGTGTAATAAGCTTTTTTTTTATAAAGCCTTTGTGCAGTTTTTATAATTATCCCGCTCGATTGAATTATCTTTGCTGTCAGATTTTCTTTCCTGTGGCTTTTAAGTTCGTCAATTCTTTTATCCTTGTTTGACACTCAGATTATGAATTGTCTACCAAGACACAAAAACCGTTCTTTATTCTAAAGAGAGCTTAAATTGTGATAATATAAATGACAAGTTAAAAACCATGTTGTAATGTTTTGTTTTGGTTTGCAATAGATCGCGCGCTTTGAATAACATCAACACGAACGCGCCCTTCTTAAAAACACATAGGTTGGAGGCTGAATTAAAATTTTCCTAAAACTTTAAAATCTCAGTAGATAAAAAATAAAAATGTTATTCACCGGCCAAGGTCGGTCTGTATTGGGAGAAACTGTGCCCTCGGTCTGAGTACCGCTCTGGGCCTACGGCCAGTGTGAAAATAATTTCAGCTGCTAAGGGAATTGGGAATTTCCACTACAAGCGTCCGCAATTCTACAATGCTCGTGGTGTTAAAGTCGCACTTATTCTTCTAATTTACATTATAACATAACAAAAGTAAATCGCGCGCTCTGATCGGTCAGTTAGCCACTACCATTTACCATTTGCCCGTGGGTGCACGCCAAGAAACTGAGCTAGCGCGGTAAAATTTAGGTAAATTCAACAAATCTCCTCTCCTGACCGTAAAATACGCCGATGAAATGCACAGATGAAAAGTGGAAGTTGAAGAAAATACTAAGCTGTCGTTTTGAAGGAAAAAAGACAAAAGATCAGGCGACAAATTTGCTCTGGATGAATTAATCACTGTTTTCCTCGCGGCTAGAATCGGCTGAAGGAAAATCGAGCAAGCGAAGATTTAAGGTACATTTTGTGTGTTTTTTATAGAAGAGAAAGTCTGTTTTGAAACGTAAATTTATCAATTAGCATTGTGTTATTGACTTGTTGGTCAAGCTCATACTAAATTCAAGCAAATATTTGTACACACTGCACGTTTACCATTTCTTAATTTTGAAACTGGAACTATTCGAGTTTCGAATAGCAAAAGGGATGGAAAATATATAAATAAACGGGACCTTAGAAAAAGGAGACTACAAAACAGTCGTTATTTTTCTCAAAATCGGTTTAGTGTATCGTAAGAGTAGCGAAAGAGCCACACGCGCGCGAACTGCGCGAGTCTCACACGCCTCACTTCAGACCTTTTGTTTGACTGTTCGCGCGTCATGAATACGCCAAAAATACGGACTATTTTGCAGTCTACGGAAAAAGCGACTCGTAGCTCGTACATTTATAGTATGTCGGTAAGACCAGATGTCTGAACTGTCTGGGTTTCTTTACAACAAATTAAAGTTAATCAAAAGTCACTTGAAACTACACATGAAAACTGACGCCCAAAGGTACATTGTAATATCGTGTCAGAGTTTACGGGAAACTCAAGCGGTTTGCAACCAAGTCGGATAATCGAAATGTATTTGTACCTAATTTCCAGGCAAGTGGTGAAAGGTAAGTTGATACAGATTTTAAAGATTAATTTATCACTGCTGCTATGAGAATCTTGCCTTATCAATGCCATGTGGTATTTTTGTTCAAACCGTCGAGTCAAAAAAATTAATAATTAATTGAAAACAATAGTGGAATTACAGAATTCTGTATTTTACTGGAAATGGTCAAAAGTGTAGGAATTGATTCTGCGGCAACAAATCTTTCGTGGTCTTTCTTCAGTTTGCAAAAGTGCAGGTGTACATGTTTACTTTATACTCCAAGTCATGAACATTATCAATGCTGCGTTCTGATTGGTTGAGCTAAAATCGCTCCTTAAAGTAAATTCTGTCTGGTGCAAACAAGAAAGCGTCGAGGAAGAAATAGCGAATATCCTTACCGTTCACCAATGACAACTCATGCTAGTCAGCTGTTAACATTTTTCTCTCTGCATTGTTGACTTGATTCACTAAAAAAATAAGCTTTCTGTTAAAAGAATTCCTCGATCAGCTCGCGTTTCTCTCATGAAGAGACGAAGGTGACAAAACCTATCTAATTGCACCGGAAGTCAGATATGTTACTTGTAACCAATCGGTGCAGGACTCCGAAGAATCTTTTGTTTTTCGACCAATCAGACAAAAGTCCAGATTCGGGACTACGGACAGACGATGCGTAAAGTAAATGTATCAGGTGTCCTTTCCTCCCTCGTGTCCTAAAGAAAAGAGAAGAATTGAAGGACCGCGCGCCTGATCGCAGGTTAGGGTGCTATAGAAAACAAGAACTCAAAAATGAGCTGCCATTTAGACAATACTTTTTATTGCAATGCAAGACTAATCCCTACGTCTATATATATTTTAAATTTTTCTTTAGAGCCTTCTTATTAAATTCCGCAGCTACTGCTGTCTTACATTGATCCTCTTCTTATGATGCTTTGCGATCGTGCGTCTCCTTCCTCTTGTGACGTCTTCCTTTCTCCATCTTTGCAACTCCCTGAACCTGGCCTAAATCGTCATCACCACTTCCCACCGGTTGTATAGGTACTCGCGTCCCTTTGAGTTTTATCTTAATCTGGTTTACCCCGTCTAAATTTAGGTTGGGGCTATTCAGCGAGGCAGGAAGGCTAACACTCCAGGTGGTAATGGCGGCGATTCCGTCGTAGTATTCTTGATATTTGCTGCTTACTTTTCCAGACTGCGTTACTTCGTAGGTGTTATCTGTTTTTATCTTGTAAGAGAACTCTGTTATTCGGGGAGGGGCAAGGAACTCATAACGTCTTCCCCTAAATACATCTGTCATCATTCCGGTAAAGGAAATCCATGTCGTGATGGCTGTCTTTGCTCCAGGTGACCCATTTTGGTCAAATTGGGCCCCTTCATAATAGATCTCAATCTCGTCCACGTGGACCCGTTCGTGACCCTTAAACATGTCCGAGTCGTTCTCATCAAGCTTGAATAGAAAGCCTTTAGCACGCTTGAGCTCTGAGATTGGGCATTTGAGTGTGTTCAGAGCCAACTGGTTCACTCCACAAGCAGACCTCCTCTCGTTATGTTGCCTCTTTCGACCTCTCAGCGACCGCTTGCCAACACTATTGCACTCCTGGCTATCGTCCGCAAGGATTATGGTTGCTTCAAACTCCTGAGGAATGAAAGGTGCAAAATTTTCAACAGCGTTGATAACAGCGCTTAGACCCTGATTGACTTTCTCGTGTAAAGCGTACAAGTCATCTGACATGGTAGGCATCACGGGACATTCCGACAACCAGTTGTAGAAATACGAATCGCAGAAGGACATTAGCTTTTCAACCATTATGTTACGAAGTCGTTGTTTTTGTAGCGCCATTTCTATTAGCAATTCTCCATTGACCGTTCTAAGAGATAGTGCATTGTCTCGAGATGTTTTTATCTTCGCCTGTGCTTCATGTTGTTCATTCTTAAGTGTCTTTAGCTTCGTCAACGTTGCTAGAAGCTCTTGAACAGTGATAGATTTTTCGTGATATCCTTTCCCCCAGATTGCCACTGTCTTAAGCGCTGCTAAGTAATCTGATGCTCCTGATATCCCGCTAGCTGTTCCAACTCCAAGAAATGCATCTGCCTCTGCGGCAAAGACATCCCACTCTTTTACCATCACCGCCAAACTCTGGTCTTTTTTCTCGGGCATAGATTTAGAATAGTAATCTGAAATTTCAGTGCCGGCATAGGGTAAGACGTCATAATGAAGGTCCGTGAACGTATTTGCAGCTTCGGTTATC